AGCTCCTGACCCCCCTGAAACTGGGCATTTCTTACTGTGCCCAGGTAACACTTACCCGGCCTCACCTGGCCCTCCCACAACCTGACAAGCGTCCAAGGCCCCAAGCCTCCCGTCCCCAGCCAGCTGCCCCTCAAGGGCCTTCACTCCTCCGCCCTCCCGCTCCCCAGGCCCTCCCTCAGTTCCAGTCCTGTTCTCAAACCAGCATCGGGCACTTTGACCACCTTCTGGATCACCTGCTACTTACCCCAGTGGGGCGCATGTCCACCAGGTGCCTCGGGTCCTCGTGGTCTTTCCTGCTGTGGGTGAAGGACCTCTGCAGATCAGTGCTGCTCCGGGTCTTCCTCCTCCCTCCAGACGGATTCCTGCAGCCAGCCACCCTCTCTGCTGGCCCTGCCCTTGCCTCTCCAGGGCTCTGTGGCTTCCTATCGGAAACACCTGCCTCTGACCCCTTCCCGTCACCTCAGGATTCCTAGGGGAATAGCCTCACTGCCTGTCCCCACTCCTGGCCTGGGTGGTCGCTACATCTCACCCCAACTCCACCCCCAGTTTAGCTGGGCGTCCCCGCAGCTTTTGACTGTGATGGCTAATCTCCACCTTGAACTCCTCCAGCAGGAGATCCCAGACACCTGCCTCTCCATGTGGACGGCCGTAGGTCCTCCCGCTGCCCTGCTCTGAGTTCCACTCCTTCCCTATGGGGCCCACACTGCAGACCCCTGCACCTCAGCCTGGCCACAGGTCATCACTAGCCTCCCTTGAACTCCAGGACGTCCACACACTGTGCCATGCTTCAAGGGTTCACCCCCAGAAGCCAGCCATTTGCTGCACAAGTCACCAGAGGCCCTGGCTGAGCTGCCTGAGCTCCTGGGGGCATCCTTACCCTCAGCTGATCTTAATGTGCAGTACAGCTCAGGCTGAGAACCATGCGGCCAGCTGGAACTCGGTTTTCTCAAAGTACTCCTGGTTATCTTTCTTTGTTTCCTTTTTTATTTTTATTTTTGGTGTGCTAGGGATCGGACTCAGGGCTCAGGAATTCCAGGCAAATGCATACCAAGTTTTTCTTTCTCTCATGGACTGCCATCAACTCACCCTTAACAGATTTGTTCCACTGTCACACATGTAAATTAACCTGAAAATTGTTCAACCCCGCTGGGCACGGTGGTGCACCCCTGTAACCCCAGTGACTCGGGAGGCTGAGGCAGGAGGGAGGCAAGTGGGAGGCCAGCCTGAGTAACTTCGTAAGGCCCTGTTTCTGATGTTTAAAAAAGGGGAGGGGGGCTCAGTTGGTGGTGTGCTTGCTGCACATGATAAGGCCCTGGGTTCGATCCTCAGCACCACACACACACAAAAGGGCTGGGGGTGTAGCTCAGTGGCAAAGTGCCCCTGGGTTCAAACCCCAGTATCCCCATCCCTCTGCCCCTCAAAAACCACCAAAACCCTTCATTCACCGCAGCCAACCCCTCTTTCCTTCTGGCCATTTACCACGTGTGTGTGGAGCAAGTTGTTTGTGGGTTTGTTTAATAAAGTTCACTTTATTTTGGCAACTAGATCATGACTTCAGGCAAGTAACCTCTTTGAATTTGGATTTCTCATCCCTGAAATGGAAAGACTAGATTAGAAGACTCTAAGTTTCTTTGTATGCAAAATCATGATTCTATTACTCTCTCACCACCATAAGCTCTCCGACTGCTGGAGAATGGCATTTCCAGAATGGTCTGCGCAAGTGCCCAGTTCACAACAGTTCTAGGCTCCCCTTGGATGTATGTATCCAGGGTGATATTATCTGACAGATCACATCAGTCTTTTCCATAATGAAGACTCAACAGTGACTTCTAATCACCATCCCCCTAAAGCAGTCCGAAAGATGGCGAGAACCAGTCACCAGAGGCCTTAAGTCAGAGGCCAGGCTACGTACGTCCCCTTTCACAGAAGGCTCAGACCAGTGTGCTCCCTCCCTCCCTCCCTCCAAGCCTGCACAGAGGAAGCCGGCGGGCTTCCAAGTGTCACTTTTCACCAGTAAAGATAATCACAGCAATGAAGTCATTTCGGCTTATTTGGGATACCTAGGTGCAAACCATGTACAGCAACACCCCATCGTCTGGATTCCGGCCCAAACATTACCAACTATCAGAGGTTTCCTGCTGGAGAACAGCATGCTGAGGCCCTGAGCAGAGGCGTGCTGGCTGCAGGGGAGGGGGGGCCTGCGTCAGGTGGAGGAGCCTGGCCCCGTCTTCTCGGGCAGTGCCTTTGTTTCACATTCTCCAAAGGAAGGTATCGGACTGAATGAATCCATTCCAAAATTGCCTGATAAAATCACCCAAAAAACTTTTGAAAGTATTGAAAAGATACCAGCCCCCTCCCTGTGGATTTTCCCCGGGCTTGTGAATGAACGACCTATCTGCCTTCATACACAGCCGAGGAACGCGAAGGCACCCTCCGAGGTGTCTCTAGCTCCAGATTGTGCAACACGGAGAACAGCACGCCTAGAAGGCCCTGGATAAGGGCGGCAAGATGGCCCGGCAGCATTCTCAGTGAGTGAGCAGAGCCAGCACCTGTCGGGCGAGCACGCGGCTGTGGGATCATGTCATCTGTGGAATAGTGAGGAAAACAGGCTTCTATCAGGTGGGCAGGAGAATTTTGAGTTTTGTTTTCCAACACCTGACTCTTCCAATTAGAAAAAAACAAAAACAAAATCCCTGGGGATTGGGTCGCATTTGTTTTCAGAGCTGGGCCTGGAGCCCGCTGGGCCAGGCACTGCCACTGACCACACCCAGCTCTCGGGAGGACGGAAGAGAACTGGCTGCCCACTCTTTTCTGTTGGATTCAATATTTCAGTACTCTTCAAAAGGGGATTGTATTTGTGTATAAAAAGCTATACATAAAGTCGGCCATGAAACGTAGGACTCTATTAAGAAAAGGAAAGATTTAGGAAGAGGAAGTCATTTCAATTCTTCCAATCCTCTGGAAATGAATCCTCTTAGTTTGGTTCATTATCAATTTGAGGGTAAAGTTTTCACTTTAAAGACCACCATTTGGGGGTTTTGTCTTTAGGTAGTAACTGGAAAGTTGTATGATTTGCATTTTGAAAACCATGAGATAATTGTAACAGATTCTATTTAAAGATTCATCTCAGCACGTCACAAAACAAACACGTCCACTGTGTCGCATTCCAGTTTCCTGCTAGGTCACATTTTATAAACTCTGTTATCTGGCAACTACCCAACTAGAGAAATACTGTTCCGGTCTCATTCACAATTAGATTATCTACATAAGTAAGGCTTCTTCAAAATGAAAAGTCACCAGTAGTAAGGAAACACACTGGAATAGCACCACTTATCCAAAACATCACTGTCGGGCGGCAGGAGCTGCGAAGGAGCAACTGGAGTAAGAAGGCCACCCAGATGCTCCATGGGTCAGTCTTCATCTAGCAGCCCCAGTGGGGGCAGAGGCACGTCCAGGGAGCCTGGCCCTCTCAAAGCCTGAGCACTTTGGAGCAATGGCCGGTAGCAGGTTCAGAGCAGGACTCAGCTCTCGGGACACGCCCGACACCCCAGGTCTAAACAAGGAGGAGTCTGGAGTCAGGCGTTCATGCTCTGGCATCTGACTAGCCTGCCAGGAGTCCACGCGGAGCCCTGGGGCAGCGACCACCTGTGAACCCCATGAGCTCACCCAGCCAGAAGCTGCAGCCTGCAGCACAGCTCCCTCTCGGAGGTCACACCACGTGCCACTCTTAGCCTGGTTATGACGGAGACACACAGCTCTTACACCAGCTCCTACCTACACCAATGTCTGAATGATAACACCGAAACCACATCGCATTTTGAGGGAGGCCGTTTACGTACTTCGTTAGGAGCCAAATCTGAAGGAAACACTGTGAGCACCGAGGCCACGATGACATCACAAGATGTGAACGGAAACTTAAGCCCACATTCTGAAACAGCAGAGATGGCAAAGCAGCTCTGTAACACGAGTTTTCATTTTGAAATGTTCTGCTGGCAGCACAGAGCAAATATTTGATAGATGTCACATTACCAACTGATAGGGTCGTGGCTTGATGGAGAAGCTTGAAGGCAAGTTTCTACCAATTGCACTGTCTGTACCCGCAAAGCCAAGGCCTGTCGGTGGAGCACACACTCCTAAGCAGCAGCACATCCGTCAGTGACCACCAGACACCACCTGGACAAGGGCTTTGGTCACGTGGGTTCAGATTGTGTCAGCATCTAATTCTCAAAGGCAGACAATCACGGACGATATTGTTTAGCCACAGGGAAAAGGTGGGACTCAGAGTGGGGACTCACGTGATCAAGAATTTCATCAGACCCAGGAGGCTCAGCATGGACTCCTGGCAGGCTAGTCGGGTGCCAGTGGTTTTAATCAGACTAAAAGCCAGAAGGCATCAGAATATTTACTTTATCTATGTGGAGTTTTAGGCCCAGATTTCTTACTCCATGACACATAAAGTACAATCTGAACAGGTCACATTAAAGACTTATTAAAGGAAACAGAAAAGTTTTCAAGACATCTGACCGTGTGAATTATTCCTTTGGTGCTCTCCAACTTCTAAGTGCTTTGTAAAGTGACAGTACCAGGGTTCTAGGGTGTCCACTGAACTAGATTCCTTAAGTCTTGCTGACGAATTTCTGAATAACCCAAGACAGGTAAGATAAACTTTAAAAACACACAGAAGTGCCCCGTCTCAAGAAACTATGACTACACAAAACCTCACACTTACAAAATAGCCAAAGTAGGGAGGTACTATTAATATTACAAAAAAAATTTTACTTAATAAAGTGATTCATTTGTGCACTTGCTGAAACAGAACTTGCATTACAAGATTTTGACTGATGTACTTTGCAGGAAACATCAAGCTTATAATTTGAGGTCACCTGCATCCAGATTCAATAGCTCAAGGGAAAGAAGTAAAATGAATATATGTGAAAAAGAATCAAAGCAAATAATAAAAGCACCATAACAGTATAGGCTAATAAATGAAGGCATCGAGAGACAGTTATTAATTAATATATTTCCTGCATTGTAGTTAACATATGTACTTTCTTCGTGTCACTTTATTTTTTTCCATTAAGTATTGATATTTTGTTATATTCAGACAGGAGTACATTTCAACAGTCTTTTGCAATAAATATCATAAAATAATAGAGATTCGCATAATAAATATTCTTTACAATAAAAAAGTTTAACAAACTTTTGTCTTAAAAATAGTCAGAATTCAACTTTGTGATTTATACATAAAATATACAAAAAGCACCACAGTTTGTGGTTAAGGCAATGAAAACACAGAAAAGATTAGAATCACCCAGCTGCTAACTACCAGAGGGGCCAAAAGAAGCAACCACGCAGGAGCCAAGACCACTCCAGGCAGCTCAGCTCTTTAACACCCAGAGACGGGCCAGGAATCAGCCTGTCACCAAGAGCCCCTGTCAGTAACAGAGATTTGGTGAAGAGCATGGGCGTGGGGGAGGCACTGAGCCCTCCAGACAGGAGGCTGGAGCAGGAATGGGGCAGTACAGGACGGATCTCCATGCTGTGGAGCAAACCCAAAACCACAGAAAGGAGGAAACACCCCCGACCGAGGGAGGGAACCAAGGAGCAGAGGGGCAGTGGTTAAAGGGAACTTTCAGGTCATGGCAAAACTGGCTCCTCCCTTCTACTCACGGTCCCATGCTAGGACGGTGCCCCTGACTGCAGACAGACTGGAGACACGGCTTCTTCAGCAGCCTGACAGCTGCCTCCTCCAGAACCAATCTCCTGGCTCCCACCGAAGCCAGTCAAAGACAGCCTGGGCCACTGCAGTCCAGGGGGTGTGTGGGAGCACCACTTTGGAGGGCCACTTGTAGAAGAAAAAGGCTACCCAGAAGCCCTCGGCTCTTGCCATCGGTGGGAGTCCGCGCAGTCTCCGTCTCCTCTCACTGAAGATCACCCACAGTGGAAACGTAAACTCCATGAGTCAGACCCTGGGATGGGGAGCAGAAGGCAGGAAGCAGGGAAACCTCAAAGAAAAGAAGCTCAGCATCCAACAGGATCTTCCTCTACAGCCACAGCTGGAGAGCCAGGGTCCAGGAGGTGCAGGGCCCTCCACAGATCAGGAGGGCTTGCCCTGGGCCCGGGAGGTGCAGCTGTCCAGCTTACAGTAGACAGTGTTGGAGCGCTTGCACCTGCACCCCGGGCGGTGCGCCCAGTCGTAACACCCCCGGCAGAGCTTCAGGCACCCCTTGGCGGGAGGGTAACAGAGCAGGCAGGGCAGGAACAGCGACATGGCTCCCATGCACAGGTACCTGGAGCAGCAGTGTGACTGTGAGCAGGAGCACGGGTGGTCTGAGCAAGAATCCCCCTCGTCGTCGTTGGAGCAGTGGTAGAAGAGGCCCTTGACCAGGCACATGCAGGTCCCGTACTCCACCATGCTCTCCGCGGAGCACAGGCACTGCCGGTTGCAGGCCAGGCAGGAGGGCAGGGTCCGGGGCGCCGTGCACTCCCCGCACTTGCACTTCCGGCACCGCTCGCAGATGAACTTGTGCTGGGCCGGGTCCTCTTTCGAGGAACCCTTCAGGTCATCCACAGTCAGTTGTTTGGGCTGGGTCCGGACCGCCCTCTCGGACCTCTGAGCAGGGCCAGGCCTGGTTGGCGGGGAGCGTCCCAACAGCCCCTGCTCCGAGGAGGCGCTGCTGCTGCTGCTGCTGCCAGAGCTGGCTGCACTGCCACTGCTGGTGGACCTGCTCAGAACCGGGCCGCGGGCACTGCTCGGGGGTCCCGCGGGGCCCAGGTGGCTGGAGGGTCTCTGGTCGTAGCCATTATTCACATTGACTGGTATGATTTCGTGCGTCCTCTCCTGCTTTTCTGGTCTGGGTGCTGTCCGAGGAGCAGGTCTCTTCACCACCGAAGGCCCTTCTGTGTACTCATTGCTGCCTCTGATGGCCTTGATCTGGTCTAGGGACAAAACAGCAGCAGGCGGAATCTCTCTCTCATTGTCTGTCCTCTGACGGCCATCCAAAGAAGGCTGCTGGGTCACAACTAACGAAATTCCACTGCCATGCTGATTTGGGGGCTCCATGTGTGGGGACCTTGGATTGTTGCAGTCAGCGGAAACCTGGCATGCATCTGAAGTCCTAGAAAAGAAACGGAAAATTAAGGAAAAAGAGAAAATAAACGACAGGAAGCGTTTGTTGGGGGAGGGAGGTCCTGTCAAGTCACAAAGTGCCTAAACCACCTGGTAATGGTCTCCTTATACAATAATGCTGGGGTCCTGACCAGCATCCAATTCCGAGAGGCTATGGACACATCATAGGGGAATATAAGCAAGAGACCCCATGCTATAAAAATCAGACGTTTTTCCAGCTTTAAAAAAGCAGAGTCAAGAGGAAGTAATGTCTTCCTGTTTGTGTGTCTAACAAAAATTAAAATGAAATTTGCCTTGGTGTAGAATACTGGGCACAAACTCTGGGAGAGCTCTCGTCTAGAGAAAGCTGAGTGTCAGTTCACTGGTGGTTTGCATAAAGGAAATGTCTACTACATCTTAAAAATCAAGAATGACATGGGTGCCCAGGCCTTTTGTTGGCTGTATGCTATTACATGCTTTAGATTAAAGGAAATTAAGGAAAGCATTTTCCAAAAAGCTCAAGCTATTCCAAACTAAAATGGAATATCGGAATAAGCGGTCATGCTTAGTAGAAATCAGAAATCAAAGGCTACCTCATTACTGATCTGTGAGATGCACAATAAAGGATAAGAAGCACAAGAGTTCTTGGTGTGTTAACAGTCACTAACACACACACACACCATTCTGTCACTACTGTAACAGAGTATTCACATCCGACTTCTTTAAAAGCTTCAACAAGAGCTCAGTCACATAACAAGATAACTTTTATGCAGAAGTGTCAGGCTTTCAAGCAGGGTGGGGAAATCCTGAGTAATTAAAATATTACCCGAATTTCCTTTAATTTAAAAATATGTGTTTATATGACAGACCTTGATCTTTAAAGCACTGCCAACTCTGAGTCGTTGTGCTTCTTGTAATAAGTATACTAATATCCTGATCAAAATAGGCATTTGTGTTTCCAGGCTCACAGTGACATATTTCTAAGTTGTGATGTAATCTTCATAAAACAAACTACCAGATATAAAAACGTTCCCATTTCCAGTCAATGGCAAACTATATTTCACACATATTCTCTGCAAATTCTCTACAGATGCAATCCAAATCAAGACCCGAAAGGGGAAAATGCCCCTTATCACTACTGCCCTATGCCCCAAACCCCATCTTAAGGAATAAAGCGGAACCAAGCGCCTGCACTGAGCGTCCTGGACTCTCCTCCAGGTTCACCTCTCCAGCACTGAGCGTCCCTGGACTCTCCTCCAGGTTCACTTCTCCAGCGCCCACTACTTTTACCTTCCTGCACGCGGCGAGAAACAGTCACCACGCGGGGTTTGGTCGAGTCCTTAAGGGCTGTTAAGACCGGCTCTTACTCCGGCCCACCAGACGCGCCGAGGCCCGGCCCTCCCCAGGCAAGGGGCGCTTTAAGAACCGACTGCCCGCAAGGCCCGGAGCGGCGCGACCCGCACCCCAGCGCAGGTCCCCGGGGCTGGGGCCGACCCACGCCGCGGGCCAAGGGCACCGGCGGGCAGGGCCGGGGCGCGGGAGGCGCCCTCGGACCGCGGACCGCGTACCTCCTCGCACTGCCCACGGCGCCGGCTTCCCACGGCTCGCAGCGCCGGCCTCGTCCCCCGGCCCCAGACCCGCTTCCCGGGCGCGCGCCCTCTGCGCTCCTCCGCAGGCAGCGCGAATACATAGTCTCCGCGGAGGACGGAGGGGAAAAAGTTATGAATGAAAACAAGCTCTCCAGGGGGGCGAGGCCCCCGCCTCGCGAGGCGGCCGAGGCTTTTAAAGTGGCAGCGCCCTCTCCCGCCGCGCCCGCGCCGCGCGCAGCACCCGGGGCGCCCAGGGCCGCGGCGCGCTCCGGGCCGCCCCGACACGCGCGGCGCCCGCCGCGGACACGGCCCTCCGCCCGCCCCGGTCCCGTCCCGCCCCGCACCTGCCGCACACTCACCCAGGCCAGAGCGGCGGCGGGGGCCCTCGCCGTGCGGCCCGGCCCGGGTCCCGGTGCGGGCAGCGGGCGGCGCGGCATCAACCGCGGCGGGGAGGACGCGGGGGCATCGCCCGAGCCGCGGTGCGTCGGCCCGCCCCCGCCGTCCTGCGGAGCGCCCCGCGGCCCCCTTCCGGCCGCCGCGCGCTGCTCTCCCGCGACCTCTCCCGGCTCGCGTGCGCCCCGCGGCTCAGCAGCATCCACCTGGGGCTCCTCTCCTGCAGCCCCCTCTGGGAACCAGCTGAGGAAGTCCCTTCGCTCGCGCTCTCCGAGCCTCGGGAACGCGAGCTGGCGCGCGGCAGGGAGGCGTGCGCGCCGGACGCCGCGGGGCTCCCTCCGCTCCCCGCGGGGCAGGCAGGCAGGGGCGGCTCCGGACGAGTGGATCCACGTCGCGGGCTCGGCGGGCCGAGGCCGGTGGGGGAGGGGCTCCCACCCGCCTCTGGGGGGCGAAAGGAGCGAAGTTCGGGGTCCTTCTCAGGGCGAGGTGGACGGACGTCGTCCTGGTCCCCGCGCAGGCCGAGGCGCTCCGCCGATCCCGCACGCTGGGCAGTGGGCGCCGCGTCCCAGGAGCCGCGGTCCCGGCAGGTCAGCCTCTCCTGGGCAGCGCTCACTTCCAGTCCTCCGCCCCTCCGGTTCCACGGCGAAACGCCTGCCACAGATGATCACAGAGAAACACGTCAGTCTCCCTTCTCTCCGGGCCCTGGGACGCGCCGCGCGCCCGCCGCTGGCCAGCTTGCCCGCGCCCGCAGCCCAGCCATGTGCCCGCGCCCGGTGATTGACAGGCCGGCGCAGTCGCGTGTCAGCAGCGAGCCCGGGTAACATGCAGCCGTGCACGTTTTGCTGAAGTGCTTTTGCCCCTTGGAATGCCCAGGAGTTCAACCAACGTCAAGCAGCGCCTGTGCGCGCAGGGACTCCGCACGCAGAAAGAAACGCAGGTTTGAACCCGGCTTCGCTCGGATTCGGTCGCCAACAATGCCTAAACAGACCCACGTTTGGTCCAGCCCCTCTTCGGTACAAACGACCTGTTTCACACATCGACAGTCCCAGAGGTTAAACTTGTTGCTGTTCGGTTAAGGGGGGAAGTGAAAGGGACCCTGCTTTTTCTTTTAGCGGTAGACTTTTAAGAGCGTTCAGTAGTGGGAACGCTGCCGGTGTTTTGAAATGCAGCCAGTAATCTCAGCTCTAGAGCAAGTTCAAAGAAATGTTCTCTTCCTTGCAAAAACCGACATTTCTCACCTTATCTTTCCTAAAATGTCTACGAAGGAAAGAAAGGAAACAGTTCTTACCTAATGCAAAGATTGGAAATTGCTTTTCACGCACATTTGCAGCGACTGCAGCTGTTCCTTATCCGGGGCAGGGAGCTGGGTCCGCTGCTATCGCTCCGCAAACCACTGTGTGCCTTACAGAGCGATCCCACTCCTGCTCTGCAGCATTTCAGCTCCTCGCGGCCACCTCCACCTCCACTCCAAGACACGCCCCCAGTGATATCATGTGTCAATCACACCAGCGGCCCGAAAACCTGGAACAGGATTTCCTCCTGTTTCCGTTGGCTCTTGGTTTGTGTGTACCGAGTTGGAAACGTAAACTTACAGACTCGTGTAATAAACATCCTCTAAAAATTGGGGATTGCCTCTAAAAAATCCTGCAAATAAATTTGTCGTGAAGGAACACATTCAAATTTAGCTATCAATCTCTACTTACCCATCGCTAATTTAAAAGGATTGGTGAATTCCACCCTTGAAGTTGAATTAGTAAATGATTGTAAAATACGATTTTAAAAAAAAAAAAAAAAATGAAAAACGCTGTATGTCAAGCCATCCCTTTGAACAACTAGAGGGAAAATGTGTATTGATATTTCAAAAATAATAATTTAACATCACAATTCCTGTCTAAATCAAAGTTGAGAGTAAGTGAAATCTGAAGTTTCAGAAAGTAGTGCTCCTTTTGGCAAATATACCATAACCATATGTTCACCAGGGGGGAAATCTGTTGTGAGTTTTAAAATAACTGCTCTATCTTGGATTGTGATACTATTTCCCAAAAGTCAATCACATGAAAACAAAAATCCCAAATTCTTTCTGTTTTGTAATATATTTGAATAATTTTGAGAAAAAACCCTATTTTTAACTGATTTTAAAAATCAGTTAAAAGGCAATTAATTAAAATAGAAACAATTCACAGATTTAATAATTCTTAACCCTATGATGTGTCACTGAAAAAAAATATGTAAGTAGGAAACTTGCTTTTTGCTTTTTTACAAACTGGGATTTTGGATATTATCAAAACCATGAAGTTCATGCTGCATAAAGATAACTGTAGATGAAATTTAAGATTTTAAATTTAAGGTTTTAAAAACTTTTAAAGATAAAAGCTTTTAAAACCCTAAAACAAAGTAAAAAAGAAATATTTTCCCAGGTAGCATGTATCAGGAATAACAAAGTCCATTTGGAAAGCAAACAAAAACAAAATTCAAGAATCTAAATCATATGTAGATTTCAGTATGGATATTTCCAGTTCAAAGTAATTTTTAAAAATATCCTTTATAATAGCAAGTGATTCTGTTGAAACTCCACCCCCACCCAATACTGAACTTTCAAATGCTTGAACACTTTCAAAAATTAAAGTCATGTTTAGAATTGCTTCTAAGGAACCCAGGGCATTGCTGAGGACACCAGCAAAAATCACTAGAAAATAATAGAACAAGAATGAGCCCATGAGCTACATAGGCACCCTTAATGCTCTGAATGGTACTAAAATAGTCTAAAAGATAAAATTAATTTTATTGTATATATTTTGCCTTTCTCATAGATTTCATCTGATTTGGGGAATTCTTGTGAATGGATTTGAAGATTCAAATCAGAAATAGAACATCCCATGAGTATCTTATTTGGTTCTTTGAAATTGTCTTCTCACCTCTCACCATAGTGAGCAACAAGTTTAAACTCTGGGACTGTCGGATGTGTGAACAGGAGGAGAGGGTGAGTTCACCAATATGATAAAATCAGCAGAGGGAGCACCAAACATTCTAATTCCACCAACCCTTCAAAAATATAGTTGAAAGATTTCTATTACAGTACACTTCAAACTATATCAACCAGAGATGCATTAAAACAATTTTTGAAAACATTTTTTAGTTGTAAATGGATCTTTTATTTATTTATTTATTTATGCGTATGCTATGCGGTGCTGAAGATTGAACCCAGGGCCTCACACATGCCAGGCAAGTGCTCTACCACTGAGCCACAACCTAGCCCCAGCCCCAGCATTAAAACAATTTTTATGTGATTGAGTATTTTCAAATTATAATAATGAATAAAATCCATGAGATTTTATCTACAACAGTGTTTCTGTGGGTCATGTTCTATTTAGAAATCCAATATGCTGTATTAAATTGATCAATGACCCTTTGCGTCGCTTGGCTCCAAATACATCAATGTTTTTCTCTAAATATTAAATTAATATTAAATAAATATTAAATTAATAAAAAAAAATATATAAGAATAGCCTTGCCTCTTTGGATCAAGAAGACATTTAATGAAACCTGCTTCTCCTTTTGATTGCCTATGATTACATGCCTTTGTAGAAATCAACATTTTTAGTTTAAAATAGATGTTGTTCTTTATTTTGTGAGTTTAATTACAGCATACCTTGATAAAAATGGATATCTAATATATGAGATTTTTCTGGAAAAGAAAAGCAATGTAAATACCAATAGGGAAATCTTGTAATAATTTTTAGTTCACTATGTCCAAATATGTCTAAATGGAGTGGAATGGCATCTGTAAATTGTTCTTCCTGGTCACGTGGAAACAAAGTTAGCTATCTCTTCTCACTCGACTTTTGAGTAAAAGGTGGGGGGGAAAAAGGCCTGGTATCTCCTTGCAACTGTTAGAAATTAAAAATAAATAAATAAACAGTAGGATTCTAAAAGGCTTTCCTTATTCATTTATTCATTTTATTTTCCAAAATAAAAACAGCAGCAACTCTAATGTATCCCACACTTTTGTAAACTCATCCCTTACTAATCCAATGCTTCTGTGAAGTCATAGTCAATTGTGTTATTAGTAATATAACTTACATTATTGCTAGTAAGATTCACGGTGTTATTATTCAGCTATAACATTTTTTGTTACTGAGAAACACAAACAGTAGTCACAGAAGTTGAGGCATTAGCACCTAACAACCCAGTGAATCAATGGAGAATGAGAAATGGGGACTGAATTTCCTTTACTTTCCTTTTAGGGCAATAGTCACTATATTATTCTACTTCCCAAGAAAAGCTGGCAAGGCTGGGTCCTGTTATTTTCAGTTTCCTTTTGTAAACAATCCTTGCAGTTGACAGAAATAGAGTAACCTATTCTGTAAATTTTCCATAAACATTCCCCTGGTCTTCAGGAGCAAGTCCTCCTCCTCGGGGCTCTCTGGGTGCTGCTCCCGCGGGCTGGTTTCAGTCTGGAAGTGGGCAACTCAAGCGACTCCCTGGCTGGGTCCCACTGAAGGGTTGTGCCTTCTGTCAGCTCCCTCATTCCACAGCAAACCGGGACTGTGTTTCCCTGCGAGCTGTCAGTAAAGCGAGCAGAGCACGTGGAGGGGCTCTGAAGGGTGCCCTTCCTCCTGATAGGCGTTGTCCGTTCCAGGAGATCCAGGGCACGACAGCCTGATCCCCACTGTGTGTCAGGCTTCCACTAACGAGCCCCCGTGGGAAGGCAGCGTCCGGAGACCACCTCAGCACGAACCTCTTTCCCCTCCAGTGATGTTCAGATTCCCTTCTGGGCCTGGACTTGGTCTTCATGTTTGTAAGAAAAGGAGATTAGGCATCTGTCCTGCTGATCTGGCATCTGAGGTGAGGGTGGAATGGCCCTTACAAGGATCACGGTGGATCTTTGATTCTGGTCAGCAAGTTACTAATCTCTCACTTCTGAAACTGTGTCCCATCCTTAGAGAACGGCACACAAGAACCCGGGTTAATTGAAACCTGTAACTGCCCCCCAAGATAGAACAGCAAAAAAATAAAGTCATGTTTTCATTAAAACATCTCCTGGGGCTTGTCTATTTTCATCTCTATTTCCTATTGAAATAACCTATGCCAAAACTACAGTTTATCCTTTGTGAAAAAAGAAAAAGGATATTGATGAGACAACTCTCAGCAGGCCCTTCTTTAAGAATACTTAATAGTGAAAAAAGAAAACAAGCAAATCTCACCCAAAGAGACTTTTTACACTTAAGAGTTTTCCATAATTTGTGATTTTCTTTTAAAATAATACCATTTATAAAAGCATTCTACGGTCTATAATAATTGACAGTACCCGTATTGAAGATCAGAGGGTTGGCAAGACCCGCTGGATCGTAAGGTCAGCTCATGGGCACTGCATAGGTGGCAACCAGAGTGCCAGAACAGGGCCAGTCAATGCACTTCCTAGCTAGGGGACCCCCACTCGGGGTCTCTGAGCTGTTTTCTCATCAATTACCTGAAGTTGGTAATCCTAACTATTTCCCCAGTCCAGTGCTACTGAAGGACCACACCTGCACAAATGCCTCGTAGGCTTTAAGGATCTTCTTAATGATTAGTGACCGTTGTCCTGAAGCACACTGTCCGTGAGGACAACTCTCAGGTCCCCCCCACCCACCCGGGAGCTTCCTTCCTGAATAAAGAGCCTCCTTGCCTTATCACATTTTCAAGTTAAATTGGTTTCATTTTTGTTTTTCTAAGCCTGAGACCTCTTGGGGGCTTAAATGTGTTGTCCTGTGGGGGGGGGGGGGGCACACACATGTGCACAGGAGTTGGGAGCAGCTGTCTACTAATAATTTCAGATGAAGCCACATGATGGGTCTTGACCACCTTAACATTTACCTGCAACTTTTCACTGTGAACATTTTGATTCCAGTTAAGATAAAAGTCATTGTAAATATATACATATATATATATATATATATATATATATATATATAAATAACCCTTTTACAAAATTTATAAACTGTGATCATTAAAAGTAAAAAACAGCAAATATGTATTTGAAAAGTGACTGCATAACATTTAAAATGTCAAAAATAAATTTAAAAGTAGTACACAGATGGTGCTCCTGAACATTTTCAAAAAGCATATTTATTGCTCTTTTTTATAATCTCCAAGAATCTCAGTTTTGATCCTCTGTAAAGATGACAGTTTTGAGGCAAAACTACCAAAGTATCACATGAATCTTAATGTTTTTGTATTAATTTTTTAATTGATGGCAGAAAGATGTTATTTCCTATAGCCAATGCAATTAACAAGGAAAACCCTGTGAAGCGCCACCTATTGTTGAGAATGAGTCACTTCAAATTTCAATCCAAATGGGGAAAATGAGCCTTCTAGGAATCAATGTTCACGTCCATCCTTTTCTGCACTCTTTCTTCTGATTTACAACACCGCCACATGAGGGGTGTGCATTTTCACTAAAATGGGGGA